CAAAGCTGTTGCTCTTCCAGTGACCTCAGGTGTTCAGGAACCTGTGTTTTTCATGCTAATGTGATGCGGTTAACATAATCCTATCTATTTTCTCATATTAATCACTTTCCTTTACAAATTTTTACTAGCTGGTAAATTCATAACTTTCTAGTACAGCTGCACATTATAGTCCAAGCAAGTACATCTTAATATTTGAAGAGAAAACAGTGTGTTAATGCATAATCTTCCTTTGTGCATCAACAATAGGTAACACATGAGACTGCATTTATAGCTGCCCACAAAACACTACTGGTGTATTTGACAGAATTATTGTCATCTTCTAAATGCAATCTTGTGTCCACTGTTTCTGAGTTATATTTGGCCAACACCTGATGACTTTAATACATAGCTGCAGTGTTGGCAGATAACTCATGCAGAAGGTTCATCCCTAAAATGACTATGCCTGAATCAAGATCAGCTGCAATCACATTCATTCTTCAAATGATAGTATTAATTTAAGTCGGAGCTGAAATTCTCTGTTTGTTTCTAGTTAATCTCTATCAGCTCGAATGATGTTATTGCTCACTGGTTCAGAGTTGTGATTTTATTGAAAGTGTCTACAAGATCAAATTAAGTTTTAATTCTCCAGTATTAAATAAAAACTCAACCTTATATCTGTGTAAGGTTACAGGCATGTACCAGAACACACTTGAGCCAGCATGTGCTGAGCATGCCCCCTTGCCTTCTGACAAAAATACTTCACTGTGTCTCTCCTTGTTGGTGGCCAAGCTGGGGATTGTTAGTTTAAAGAGCTGGCTTCACAGCTCTTATAACTTATCAGTGTATCTCTCAAAATTTTCTGACATTTGAACAAGATGCATTCTGTGACAATCATAACTGGAGTTCAAACCTGAAGCAAGAAGACTACAGTATACTCTGGATGACAAAAGTTAAAGTGTACATCATCAAGATGTCAGCCAGGAAGACAACCTTGTCCTATATGTAGTCCTGCAAGTGCATTGGGACACTGATATTTATGCCTCATGGGTAGATCCTATTGTTGCTGGTAATGAACAGTTGTTGATATCTGTGGCTGAGATGTCTGGGCTTAGTCTAACATATTTAATGTACAGGATCTTCTAGAGGCTGTGCATTTGAAAGAGTCACAGTAATAACCACTATTGACTTTTTATCTCACTGACACAGTGTCAATGAGCTTCAAAATGATCTTGATGTTAAGTGGCACTAAAGATGCTCCTTTGATAAACTCTCTATAAATTTATCAATGAGGACTTCCCTTCAACCTGTTACAGCCATGCTTAGATATGCTTTGTTGTGTATATGGCATAAATCATTTGCATATGCTGTCAGACTTTTGTGAACTTTACTCTTTCGATAGCTCAATTCTATGTCTAATCAAACCTGCAGTGGAAAGTTATTTCACCATAGAGTATTTATCACTTAACTGGTCCATATTTACATTCATCCATGGTCAGAACAGCCAGAACTAACAAAATGTGCATAGTTTGGTTTGTCACCCAAGCATATTACACAGCTACCTGTCTGAATCTCTTCAGGAGTTGGTTCAACTCCTCTTTCACAGCACTATCACATGACAACAGGTTAATATGCTTCATCTCACTGTCCCTTAGTGATTGGAGTGAGAGCAACTGGAAATATAATGTGCATACTGAGCCAGCAAGTGTGTAAACCACTTTAAATTCTATTAATACAACATTTTCAAGGGCCGGAAAAACAGCTAGGAACAATTCTATATGGAAGGAAAAGCCACAAGGTGCAGGCTCATCTATGCCTGTCTTTAAATTTCTCATCTGTTACTCTGTTTGGTATGAAGCAATGTTGATCAGCAAGATGCTATGCTTACCATAAGTTCTCTACTGGCATAGCAAAAGTTTCAGCCCAGTGATGAAAAATAGACTCATCTAAGGCTGAGGTGGAGTATAGGTACTAAGTACCTCCCCATAGGATCTCAGTATATCTTGACTTGGTCACATCTGTATGCAGACTCATGACTTTCTCATCTACACCACAGATGCCAGGTTAGCTTGCATCACCAACAATGTTAAAAATTGTAGATCAGTGCTCTCAATCGAAGGTTGTAGAGAGAAGGAGTCCAAAGAGTGCCTTAGCACAGATCTGCATTCCAGGTTCATAAACTGGGCCTCCTTCAGACTCAGTAGGTCTTTCAACTGCTTCCTGGTATTTCCTGTCTTTTCATCCAGGTGTATATATTTTTTTCCATCCATGGTTCAGAAATAGTTTCTGACTGCCTGAACTGAAATAAGAAAGAAAAACAAAAGAGCAAAAACAAAAGAAACTACAGGAATACTTCATCAGATCACATTCTTTGTCACACACCTGACCTTAATTAAATCCTAGATTACAATACCAACATTTTAAAGTTTGAATGATACTTTATTTGATTATTAGGCTTAAAAGGATTAATAATCCAACAATAACTGAATGAACAGAAGTCTTAGTTGGACAAGTGTGGAAGTAAAACATTTGTTCCAATGAAAGAAAAACTCAATGTGCAAGGTGTACAGTACAATACTAAAAGTGTATTGCTTCAGTTAAGCAAATGAAACTAAAACACAATAGAAATTGGCACTGGAGACAGAAGGATTAAATAAACTTGTTTGTGAGATGCTGAACTAAAAATCAAACTTAACAGAATAACTTGAATAGGAAAAGTGAAAGTGTAATGGTAGCATAAGATCTTTTTACTAGTTATCTAATGTGAGTAAAGAAATTGGAAAGCTCTTTTATCTTGCACAATTTAACTAGTTAGAAGACAGAGAAAAACTCCCTCAAATATTGCACAAATCTAACCAAAAAAACAGAAGATTTATCTTAGAAACAACCAGAATACAAATGAAAAGCCTGAATGTATTAACTCTATATAACTGATTGTGGCAAATGCATGAAAGATGAAAAATCTTACAGTTCTGAGTATGACCTCCACAGGTGTGTAACAGATATACATTTTCCCATGAGAAATAGAGTAACTTAGATAATTGTATGTATTGATCTCTCTTTCTATATATATACATTGACTTACCATTTTATTAAGACCTAAACCTAGTAATGGATTGGGCCGACTATGGCCTGAAGAACAACCATGTAATACAACATGAGATGGTGGAAGGTCCCCTGAGGGATTTTTACCCATTCAGTCATGAATATTGTGTGCAATTCACTGAACATGGTAGGCAGAGAATCATGATGGTAAAAGCATCGTTCAAGCTCATCCCAGAGATGTTCAAGTGGAATGAGATCTAGGGATTATGTTAGCCATGGAAGATGCCTGAACTTTTTGCTATCTTCTTTGAATCATGTATGCACAATTTGGGCATAGTGGATAGGAGCACTGTAGCCATCCCCTCAGCACTTCATCAAAAATGATGCTGAGGTAAGCTGTGGCATTCATTCTGTGTTGTAAAATGACCAATGTGCTCAGTGCATACCAGACAAATGTGCCTCAAACCATGACTCCAACAGCAGAAGCCCAGACAAGTGGGACCACACAAGAGGGGGGTTTAGTGATTTGTGTGGCTTTCTTCATATCTGTCTTCTCTCGTCTATGTGAAAAAAGGGTAAATCATGTCTCTATGGGCAACATCACTTTTTTGCAAGTCTTCATTAGTCCAATACATGCACTTCTTACACCACTCAAGGCATATTTTCTTGTTCATAACTGAGATGAGTTATTTATGCAGTAGTCTTCTACTGCCACATTCCATTTGTTACAATGTTTTTTGCAAGGTATGGCTGAAAATTGGTGTGGATTACCATGCATTAAATATCTCTGTTAGTTGGTCAATTATTTGATAATAGTTTGAATTTAGTATCATGTCTAGCTGCCTTTCTCACCTTTCTGTCACTTGTTTGTGGCTACAATTCCCCCTCATAGCAGACATTTTATTCAACTTATCCTATTGCTGATAAACTTGAATGGCCAATGTTTTAGAACAGCCGACCAATGAAACTGTCTTAGACACTGTAGCACCTGCCAGACATACAGCCACTATCATGCCTCTTTTGAATACTGTAATATCGTTGCCTCTCCCCATTTTAGGGATCTGTATGTATTTTTATGTGATGCCAACTGTTATGAGTGGATTGACTCACGAATGGTAGTACAACAACATCATATTGGTGTTGTGGTAGCTGTGTAAAACAGCAAGTTTATTTTACTGTAGAATATTGTACTTAGTTTGCATCAGTCTGAATGTATACTGTAGTGGTTAGCATGAATATTTATCCAAGTTGTAAGAACTGTTGTTGAAAAGTCTTAGTCTAGCTAAATTCTGCTTGTGATTAAGTATCTTGTTATGCTGTACAAAAGCTGAGTATAGTTTCTCATATATGGCAGCGGAGTAATGAGAAGAGAGCTATTGAAATATCACCCACGGAGCTGCAGCTTTTGTTTTTGCACTTACTATATATGAGTCATGGACAGCCTATCAGATGCTACAAGTATTGTACTACATTTAATATGCAATGTTGATATGTATGCATATGGGATGAATGATATCATATTATACATAAAGGATTATAAGTATATTTTGTTATATGAGCATGCAGACATTGCTTATATATACCCAAAAATTTTCATTGGCTTTCATATAATGTGTTTAATTTTGTAGGATTGAAATATTTCATAAGGCAACATTTTTGTTTGATATTTCCTTAACATTTATTTTCCTGTACAAGTTGCAGTTTAAAAGCAGGTATGAGTGTACTGGCTGGAGAACATATGTAACAAGTGCATAGCATTGCTTCAAAGTTCCTATAAGTTATAATATCTTTATAATAAAGCACTGGCAAGTCCAGGATTTTCAGAAGAAAGAAGCATAAACTAGTGCAACTGAACATCAATGGGCAAGAATTACAGAAAGTGGTCATATTCCCCTGAGCCCAGCTCCAAAAAAACCAATAGCTTTTCTTGTTTTGGCAGGTTGAGAAGTATGCCAACTTGTATAGTGGCTAGCCTGATTTCACCCACTTGGTCTACATTCCAGAATAGTTTTGTATGATGTTCCAGTACTGTTAGGTGAATACAGACATCCTAAAAGACATACTTTAGGTAAAAAGTCCTTAATACACTTTTTATTTGACTTAAAACTGTTTGTAATTTTTGAGTGGTCTCAATGCAAGTAATGATAAATTACATGACAAATAAAATTTTAGTCAAGTAGTTATGGCAAGATTATGGTGATCAGAAATCAATTGATGTCATGGTTAGTAGCTTATACGATTCCTAAGTCTAACCACAATTACTTTTATCTTATGTTTTGTTTGCATATTTGTTGTCATATTCTATGTACAAGTCCTGTGAAGGATTGTTTATGGTGGTAAGAGACTGATATTCGGTCCCAAGATATTCTTGTTAAAAATTACAGCTCACTATCAGTTTGTTCAGGTTCTTTTGCCAATTGGACTTGAATCAATTAACTATATACATGAAAGGTTTCAAGAGAAGTATCTAGTTTTGATGACTTTTATCCAAAGTTGAATGAATGTGTTATCAATGAGATAATTGTAGAAGGGGTCTTTTTATCTTTCTTTTTTTTGTGTGTATGATTCACATGCTATATTTTAGCATTATTCCATTTTAATGTGTAACCTTGTTCTGTTGCATGATGAGCTGTTGTAGATAGATTGATATTCCATCTTATGTGTCTATGTTCCTGAACTCTAGCCTTTGTTGATCTTTTTGTTTCTCCAATGTATTGGATCCACATTCACAAGGTAATACTGGAAATGGTATTTCTTAGCTCTCCACTGGGTCTCTAGGTCATTTGCAGTGCTTTAGTTGTGATCATATCATGTTATGGCTTCTTAATACTGTTACAACATTATGTTGTTTACACATCCTCCGTATATTTTCAGAGAGACCTTTGACTTAGGAGAACATTCAAGTACCAAAGGATAAAAGCCCAAATGGGTTGATACCACCCCTGCTTTTCTAGAAAATAACATCAAGAATTGAAACCTGGTTTCTGCCACCACATACAGTTTTTGTTAAGATTCCCCTGCAGACTACAGAAGATTAAAAGCTGAAACATAAAATGACTACTAACTGTGAGCAGTACCTAATAATAGCAATAAAAAAACTATAGCTAATTAGTAATTAAACTTAGGTTACCACATAATCTTTTAACCATGACAAGGAATATTTTGGTGAATTTTTTTAGAAAATCTTGCTGAAATGTTTTATGAACACAAGAACAAACTAATATATGACTTAGTTGTCCACAATGTGTAAATTAAAGTCTGTCAGAAGCTATGAATGAAATACTATTCATTTAACAATAAGCTCTTATTTCAAGTAATACATTTATATTATTTTTAAGGTGCATAATTTTGGTACTGGTCAGTTCCTATCACATTAGACTATAACTGTTCTGTATAAGATTATTATGATAAAATCCTCATAGTGTAGAAGTTCCAAGTACAAAAAGCTTGAATTTCTTTCTTAGACTATCGGCAACTTAAGTTTCTTACACTTTAAAGTTCACTGTGACATACATAACAGAAATAGTCTCTGAGAATCCTGTATACAGAATTACCTGATAAATCATTATTTTATGCTGCATTAAACTCTACAGCAGTAGAGTACACAATATTAGTACATGCAATTAATGTATTTTACTTAACAATAAATATCATTATGTTCATTTTTGTATTTTTAAATAAGAAAGAAAAATAAAATATACATTTACTTTATAAGAGATTTCTACACTTTCCAATGTAAGAAAGAATATCAGAAAAGTTTTAATGGTTTTCAAATGAGACCCAAAACTCGTGTGCTTTTGAATGGTTCACTATTCTTCCTAATTATTTGAAATCCATTACAACTTTTGTATATGATCCTGTGTGCTAACTTCTTAATCAGAAAAGTTTTAATTTATGTTACTATGAGTACTTATTAAGCTACATGTACTGTATACAGTGATTATGATATACTGTTCATATACTTTTGGTACTATGTACCATTAAACTATTGGTCATTACATATAAAACATGAATTAAATATGGAAAAACAGTCTACTTACTTTCATTACTTATAAAGATTGGATATTCTGCATGAGATAAGTTGGCAGGTGGAATTTCAACACACTTTTGAGTTAGAACACCCATATATATTTGTAAACCCAATAAGGCATAAACAGATAATGAGAACACTGTCAAAATAATCACATCCTTCAGGTTCTTTACAGATTCTATCACTGCACCAACAATGGTTTTCAAACCTAGGAAATAAAAATTCAATAATTAATAAAATGGGTACTCGACTACAAGATTGTGTTTAGAAATAAAATACAACCCTATTCAAGCCTACCAATAAACAAACACAACATTAAACATACAACAAATAAAAAAGAAGAAAGACAGAAACATCTTAGTTATTAGCTTTTGGCCATATTCTGAGAAAATGTTAAGCAAATATAAATTATTCATTAAGATATAAAGAGTACAGAAAAATTTAAGTTAATGAATAGATAATATTATAATTCTTATTGTAAATACACTTATGTTACTTTAACTCATTGACACCAGCTGCAAGGTGTTCACCATATACAGCACACTTGCATTCAACTGGCAAATCAACAGTTAATGGGATAAAATATTACCAGAACCAAATGTATAATAGGAAGAACGTAAGTTTTCTTCAAAATGATTTTCTGGATGGATTAGATGTCCACATAATGACACAAAAGTCTTGTTCACACAATGAATTACCTGACTATTTAAATGATAAAGCTGATCCAATCAGAGGAAAGAAAAATGTATTTAGAATTGCTTGAATATGCAGTTATTGATGGATATCAGTGAACTTACTATATCTTTACCAAACCTTATTTTATTTTTAATCTACATAAAAATTGTAAGATATTTTTTATTAATGTGAAACTTAAACATTTTATACAGCTTAGCAGATTTGATGGCAGCAATACAAGAGCAGCAAAAGAAACAAGAAGAACGAGTAAAATAAACGAGAAAAGAAACAAGAAGAGAGACAACAGCAGTTGCAAGAAAACCTGCAACAGTGGCAGCTCGAACAGCAAAATAAAGAAGAAGAGAGATTACAGCAGTTGTTAGAGGAAAAAGAAAGGAAACAAGAAGAAAGATAAAATAAACAAGAAGATTGATTACAGCAGTGGCAAGAAAACCTGCAAAAGTGGCAGCTCGAACAGCAAAATAAACAAGAAGAGAGATTACAGCAGTTGTTGGAGGAAAAAGAAAATAAACAAGAAGAGAAATTACAGCAGTTGTTGGAGGAAAAAGAGTGGAAACAAGAGGAACAAGAAAAGAGACAAGAAGAGAGACTTCAGCAGTGGCAACTGGAACAAGAAAGGAAACAAGTACAAACGGACAACATTAGTAAATTTAAAAGTGAATTAGATACATTAAAGAACGATTTATTGTCTTTTACACAAGGAGGATACATTAACCAGTACGAAGGAAGCCACAGGAATACGATGGGAAAGCACCGTGGGAAGCATATGGAGCACAATTTGAGCTACTGGCAGAGATGAATGGATGGACAGAGGAGAAGAATGCAGTATATCTGGCAATGAGCTTGAAGGGACAATCACTGGAAATACTTGGACAGTTGTCAGCAGACGACAGGCACAACTATAGAGCACTAGTGTCGGCTGTAGAACTCAGGTATGGAACCCAAAATCAGTCAGAAGTCTACAGGGCTAGGTTTAGGACGAGAGTCCGTGCTAAAGGGGAGAGCCTGCAAGAGCTGGCACAGGACTTGGAAAGTATGACACACAAGGTCTACCCAACTGCACCACACGATCTCCTCAAGTTGTTGCTGAGAGATCAGTTTGTAGATGCCTTGGATAGTCCACAACTGAAAATACAAGTGAAGCAAGCACACCCCTCTACCATGCAGGATGCAATGGTCAGAGCTCTCAAATTTGAATCCTACATTAAGTCCAGCACAGAGGTACCAAGGCCAGAAAAGGTCAGCTTTCAGAGAAGTTTGAGGGACTTTGCTGGCACTGTAACAAACCTGGGCACAAGAGAGTTCAATACTGGCAACTTCAACACAGGGGAGATGTTACAGCAGGAAAGGCTGCTACCCAGAAATGTTGTTGGAACTGTGGAAAGCAAGGACATATGAGGAGCCAGTGTAAGAAGAATATTACCAACAAGTCAGCCTCAAGGAGACCAGTAGTGGTTGGTGTTGAGGGACACTCACCAACCCTCATCATGAAAGTCCCAACAGCTAGGTGTAAAATGCCAATTACACAGGAAAGCTGGATGGCCAAAGGTGCAACTTTGTCATAGATTCTGCGTCTCAGCAAACCCTTGTGAGCATCAAGGTGTTAGATCATGAAGGAGTACCAGAAGCCATACAGAAGCTTTGTAGTGTGACAGGACATTCTGCAAGGTTGTGGGGACCAGTGTGGGTAACTAATGAGCTCATGGGCATAAAGGACAGACAAAAAGTATACTTGGCTGACATTAAAGACGAATGCATATTAGGGTTGGAACTACTTACTACCGAGGAAGTTTGTAATTAATTTTGATAAAATGACGTTTGGGAACAACAAAGGCCAAGTTCCGGTAACTGTTAAAAGAGAGGTTGAACTAATTAGGTG